TTACCATCCCTTTCTTGGACCAGATATGTCTGATGCATGTTTCGGAAATCACGATGATTATGATTACTGCATAGCCAGTAACTACTTCCAGTCTTGCTTATCATCATCCCCGTTCTCCTTTTATCCTTTTAATTCCATCTTCTTAAACGTTACCAACTGTTTTAATTTTTTATTTTGAAGCAACTGTCTTCAGTTTGCACTCGAACTATTACTTTATTATTTTCACATTGGAATCCACCAGCCACCCGTTTGGTAATAGGATAGTTGTTGGTATCCAGGGTCCTTACTGACCTGAGACAAACGCGCTCACTCAAACTGTAAGATTTACAAACTCACAAATAACTACCAAACTGACTAGAACAAGTGTATTTGAGTGGCTGGACTACTAACTATTGAACATTGTCAAATACCTGAAACCTTACCGAACTATCAAGAAGCGAGAGCAAAGAAATCAATCAGCTTATAGAAGCTCGCGACAAAGACACACAAAGACACTTCTCGCCCAGGGTACAGTTCATTCTGCTATACTGAGGGGAGCAGCCTCAATCCTGGCAACGCCGCTTAGCGTGATTTTCTCACACTCGCTACAGGAAAATAGGAAGCTGGCTCACACCACACCAATTTTCAGAGGACGTTGACGCAGCGAACCTTCAAGTTACCGACCGGTGGCTCTTCTCTCTATACCTTTAAAAATCATGGAGTCCCTGATGTGCGATGGTATACATGACTATTTACTGTCCTTAAATTTCTTGTCACCCCAACAGCATGGTTCTAGGAAGGGCTACTCTTGTATAACCGACCTGCTGACTGCGGTGGACAGATGGACAAGCATCCTCGATCGCAAGGGGAAGGTTGATATCATTTACTTTGGTTTCTCAAAAGCTTTTGATAGGGTTAACCAGATTTGTCTTATCGATAAGCTCAAACGATTGGGTATCGGACCACCTCTAGTTGATTGGCTCGTTTCGTATTTGAAAAATCTGCATTTTAAGGTCAGGGTTAACCTCACTCTATCTCGGGCTATCGAATGTCCTATTGGAGTCCCCCAGGGCTCAGTACTAGGACCTCTTCCCTTCTTGATTTATATAAATGATCTTCCACAGCAGTTATCGTCAAACTTATTACTTTTCGCTGATGACTTGAAACTTTGAAGAGAGATACGCAACCAAGACGATATGCATGCAATTCGGAAGGACCTGACTCGACTTCAAAGTTGAGCAAATGACAACGGACTTACCTTTAACACTACAAAGTGTAAAGTAGTCCATCTGCGAAATGTCGCAGACTACAGTTACAACTTAAGAAACTCCTCTCTAGTAGTATCCTGAATCGAAAAAGATTTAGGAGTCCTGGTGCCCTACGATTTGAAGTCTTACGCTAACTGTGACAAAAATGCCTTTCAAACAAACCTTGCACTGGTAACATTGAAGCGCATTTTCGGCCAGTATGACGGAAGAACTTTCCACATAATCTTCAACAGTTTTGTTCGTCCCGATTTAGATTACGGAAAAAAAGTGTTTCTTCCCCCACTCCAAAAGGATGATGACACTCTGGAGCGTATCCAACGGCGATCCACGAAATCAGTTCGGCGACTCAAATTCAAACCTTATGAAGAGCGCCTCCAATCACTTAACCTCTCCCATTACAGTATGGGAGTCTTAGAGGTGACCTTCTAACGACTTACAGCATCTTAAACAATTTTGGGCATCCCCTTAAACACCTACTTAAGCTTAGTCTTAATACAAACCTAAGGGTAACACCCAGAAATTGAAAATACAACATAGCAGAACGGACTGTAGACACATTTTCTACTCCTTAAGAGTTTTCAGACTCTGGAATTTGCTGCCGACTAAACTAGTTGAAGCGACTTCCTAGGATTCCTTCGAGAGGAAAAGACTTATTGTTAAGGACTTAGGATAGCATTATATCATGTGTTACCAATTTCCTTTTCTTTAAGTCCGTTATAGTTAGTATGTCTAGGTTCCTGCCTGAAGGTATTGATGATCTCCTGCTACTAGACACGGAAGCCTGTTAAGCGAAAGCTTCTTCTTTTCCGTCCACAACCATTTGAACCATTTGAACCTTAGAGATGATTGGAAGTTGAAGAACCAAGCACGCGGGTTGATTTGGTTACAGATGTCCTTGGTAGGAATCTTAATGTTGTGATTGTCGGTTGAGTTGTGGATTTTAATTCTAGTAAAATAAGTAGTCTAAAGTTACTTTCTTTATTTAATGATAATGAAACAAACGTCAGGAGATACCTACCTGAAGGAACCCACATTAACATGATGGGAGTTCCTTACGATTAATGCTGAACATCACTTTAGGGGAAATGCAGTTCCTAAGGGCGTCTCACACAGTCCAGTGAATAGGGGATTATTTTCGTCCCGTTTTCGAAAAATTTCCACGAAAATCAACGGAATTTTCCGGGAATTTCCTTCACTTGATGGGAATTTCGAGAATGCACAATCAGTTTAGGTTGATTGTTTATTCTGTAAAGTTGGGAGTTCGTTGACTGTTTATTCTACAGATTAAGTTTACTGAGCCTAGAGACAAAGTTCCTCCTGTTGTCCCCAATTATTCGTCACCACTGAAAAGGCTCTAGAGCTCAGTTACTGATTACTCTAACATTTATATACTATTACTTATGTGGCATTGTATGGTCAATTTAAGCTTACGTACGTTGTTAGCTTTATGAATACAAAGTGGGAGTTGATGATGCTCAGTTAAATTTGACGCTAGTTAGTAATTCACGTACATCCGGTCGTTTAACTTGAAACTCGCTCTGGTCCGAATTTTTGTTTCGTTTGACTTCATCATCAGTTCTCTCAGTGCGGCTCTGCATTATGGCCTCACTTTCAGTCAAATGTGAGTGTTCAGTTATTTCCGGCTAATATTATTTGATCAGCCCCTGTCGGGACAGAATCAGTGTCATTTATGCAGCCCAAAATTGGGTGCGAATTCAAACAATATTAGCAAAATCATTTGGTATTTTCCAGTCCTGAGTCTATTGCCTGTCAAGTAAATGGTCGAATAGTGGTAATTTAGTCGATATCCAGTAGGAAATTCACCTAATCGATCATGAAACGTCTGACCAGTCATAGTGAAGACTATCAAAACAGTTGTTTGTTTCTGTGCGTATTTGTCATAGTCAGTCAGTTACAACGTAAGACCAGACAAATATGTGCATCGATCCAAGTTGCCATACCTAATTAGCACAACAAGATGAACACAGAATCCATAGAAGTAGTTACTTGAATGGTGGTAATATATAAAAGGAATATTTTATGTAAGGATATAGTACAGGAAGAAAGAATTTGTTCACAGAAAGACAGATATAAAACAACTTTAATCTCATAGTTTAAAGGAAGACAAAGAGTGTATACACTTACGCCATTGTGATCGATTCTGACCCATGCCACCAAGTCTCCAACCATTGGTTACGATAGTCACGCGGCCCTCGACCAAGTAGTCTGCATCTACCAACATGGCTCAGACTAGAAGTTAATGACTTCAAACAGTGATACCACGTTTTGGTTTGACCGCCCCTAACTTTCTTCCAACCATCTCTAACATCGGTTAGCATTGCACGACGTGGTAATCGCTGTTCAGGCATACGTACACGTGGCTCAACATCTCAGTCGATGAAGATTCACAACTTCACTAACTGACTTACCATCATTCCCTAATACCCAGTGTCTAACCTCACTATTACTTACCCGTTAATCCCAGCAGATGTGAGTAATATCTCTAAGATATGTGATCAATTACTAGTAGCTTACGAGTATTTTCTACTTTTAATGGCCGTGTTTCGCAGCTATAAAGAAGAACAGAACGAACTTCCGCACAATATACTTGTCTCTTAATTGATATACGACTATCTCGCCCTCGCAATAGGTGACGTAAGTTGGCATAAACCAAGCGAGCTTTCGAATCCATGCTGAGATTTCGTCAGACACCAACCCATTAGGGCTGATCGGACTTCCAAGATAAGTGAAGTTGTCGACGCTTTCGACATCATGTGATAAATTAGCCTTCCTAGTGTTGTGGTCAGTTTGTTAGTATTAAGTCTACTATATTGTGTAAAAGGGGATGGTAAGTTATGGAAAGTAACCGTACACTTTACCTCTTATTTTTATAAAAACTTCGGCAATTGAATTCGCCACGACTGATTTCAATAACAAGTAAGACTATCCAATAATGCACAAGTGCAATTGAGTGAATCTGTAAAATAATGATATGAGATAAAAGACTTGCCTAGTAGTTGTTTTAATGTCATTCACATCCCATTATATATAACCGTATTTAGTTACTGTTATGTCTAAATAAAATAATCAACAATAAACTGCACAAAGTCTTATTCCGAAAAAACACTTCAGTTTGATACAATAACTTTTTACAGTATATCAGAAGTTGTAGTTTGTTTGTATCACCAAGTTAGACCTACAAGAAACAGAAAACAAACTGTTAGCTGTAACCATTTAATTAAATAAGCTTGATCACAACTTAATCATCAATACCTTATATATTAAATTTTCACCTACAGAGTCTGTTAATTACTCATACTGTCTGTCGAAAACCATAATTCATGTACTAATTATTGATCCGAAGAAACATGTCTGTTACAAATCCAGTCACTAGCCAATATGGCACAATTTTCGCGAACCGTTACGATTAGTTTCTGTTTAAAATACTGTTAAGTTGTGTTCGGGTGGTAAATTTGGGCACTGCAGAAAGTGAACTGCTAGTCATGCAATTCAACTGTCCAACGTAGGAGGATTTAACTGAAAGGCATACCCATTTTCACGTACTATAAAATCAGTTTTTATGTATCAATCTACCAATTATAGGAGATTCTGTTAAGATTCAACATATGCAGCGCATCATTTCCATAATGAGGCTCTGTTTATAACATCAAATCATATGCGAATAATCCCTGTCGTACTTCTTTTCTCTCACAGCCTTGAAATTTTGGGTTCCAAAGAACATATTGTCCCGTAATGCTTCAAAGTCTTTCACGTATTGGGGATACATTTGCACGACTACCGTTCTTATTTTTTGTCGAATTAGTAGCAACAAAACGCGTTACTTTTCTTTATGATTACTGGAAACTCTATTCCAATTGGATAACATCGACTTGTCCCTCTTGTTTGTGTCCAGATGAATCTCATATCAGCTTCATTATCTCAGTCGGTAAGATTTTTGTTCTGTTTCGTCCATTTTTCATAGCTGTTGTTATAAAATTGAAGACTTTTACATTTGAAAATATTTTCTACCACATATTTATATCATCCGTAAAACTACTATAGATAAATAAATTTCGAGTTCTAGCTTAAAGCTATCATTTAAGAGTCTTTAAAACCTTTGGTTCTTGTTAGTGAGAGTATAACTGTCAAATTATTTGATTGTTTCTCTGTTTATATTCGTTAATATCATGGGATTAATAGTGTAATGGAACGTGTTTGAATTTATCTTTCCAGATGAAAGTTTTGCTTAAAAAATTAAGTGGTTGTCCCTTCAGGACATTTCAAATTCCATGAATTTATACACCTGAAATCATCTCTTTCTAATGGTTCAGGTTTTTTGCTAGAGTTCAAATGTCTAATTACAAACTAGCTTACTAATAAACTTTTGTCAGTATCTTTTTACTAGATAAAAAATAACTTATGGATATCTCTAAATTGATTGACTAGTGAGCTTGATACAAAAAGAAATCATGCTTTATTTCAAGTGTTAGTCATGCGCATACAGCCACCGTCAGGGAAGTCCTACTTATTGCCTTCTTGTGACAGGGATGTTGTTTACAAATTTGGGAGGACCGAAAGCGAATGTCTGGAGCTTAAACCGAACTGGTTGATACGGTGCATTCATCTAGGGTGTTGGAAAACCCTGGTTCCAAACCAATGGTGTATATAGGCTCCAAGATCCTGAGGAAGCAAGAGGCGTATGAACCTATTGTTGCTCACTGACTACCATGGGATCGCATCTCATAACGCTGCTTCGCTGGCTTATGGACCAGACCTGCAGGTCAAAGGTTTGGAGAGTGGTCCCCTAAGAAAACCACCTGCTTTGGTTTGGGTGCCCTGACAGTATTCCAGTTCTCACACATATCGAATGATTTGTGTGGTGCATATATATATATATATATCCTTGTACCAATGTTTGTTTAAATAAATAAATAAAAGACCGCTTGCTACCCATATTTAAGCTGGTCAATATAATTTGCAACTTTTAAAAAAATGCACTTCACAAGTAGTACTGGTTTTTCTAATGTACTCCATAATAATATTTTATCTCCGTTCTATTTTTAATTTTCAGCTTTCATCATTTGTGCAGTCACCTCAGTTATTTACATTAAAGGCATTTTCACTGTTGTATTTATTGTAATAAATCTCTTTCTTGTTTGTATAATGTTTACGAATTATATGTCTTTATTGTACACTATCACGTTACCGACATTTCCATCCACTTTGTCTTCTTTCTCTACTTATTTTTCCTCGTCGTCTTCTTCTTCCTCACTGTCATTACTTATACGATGGCATTGTATATTGGGCTGTTTATTACTCGCTACTTCACTTTTGTTTATGCTAATAAATTCAATATTCAGGCGTATACCATCTTATAAATATTTCATAATTATAATTCTTTATATCTCTGTACTATTTATCTCTTCATTGCCAATTATTATTAAGTCCTCATCAATAGAATTGACGAGATCCGATCATGAGAAATCATTGAGAATGATGATGATAACAACAACGACAACAGCAAATGATAAGCATTCATTTCATACAATGTCATCTATGGATTAAATAATTTTTCATCAACGTGGTTATTCTATGTCTATACAATGGTTAAACCGAATTGTTGTGTCAAGCAATCTAATGTAAATAGTAATTGGCAATCTCTTTGCCTGCCTACAAATATTCATTTGTTTTCATCAATGAGAATAATATTGTTCATGACGTAACTATTGTTTCTGAAGCAGCTTATCGATATGATATAATCCTACTAACTTGTTCTTATGGTTTATTGTGTATTTATATACTACTTCTATTGTATTGTTTAAGCATTACTGATATTTATGAAATCTTTATGTCATGTGTTGATATAGAGCTGGAATTATATCGACTTGGTCTAGTTGATTATATCACATTTCATTGGAATCGATTAGATGTACCACAAATTTTAATGTACTTTTGGTCATTCAACTAATGTCAGTGATTATTTTGGGTCCAGTATGCTGGGAAATTATTCCAACTGGTGATGTTAATGTTGATGAGATATCAGCGAAACTATTCAATTCTTCTACATTGAATGAATATTCTAATCTGGATACTGCCAATCAATCAACATTATCTATACTATACACAAGATTATTTGTTGGTCTTTTTGTACATGGATCAGAAACCTGGTTGTCAGTGTGTGGAGCAGCTGCATTTTTCGGTGCATTAGCTACTATTTTCGTTTCTATATTGGTCTTTTTATTGGATCCATCCCGTACTGGCACAGCTCGATTAGCAGTGGTAGTTGCAGAAGCTCCAGCTGATCCACATACATGGAATGTTATTGATGATCCAGCGTTAGCTTTAGATCAAAATGATGTTATTGCTATGGAATTACTAGCTAGTACAGGATGGAATTGTGCTGTTGTCTTTTTGTTCTTAGCTTTCCAATCAGATATGCCTAATCTTCCACCAGTTTATCGTGCATCATGTTCTATGTATGGAATTATGGTTCTTGTGATTGCTTGTATCCATCCTATTCAAGCATTAATCAAGTCATTCTTATTACGTCTTGGGGCACCTGGTCAACAAACAAATTGGTCCGAGCATGTACGACCATTGTGTTTTTGTGTTGTGCTGATTTTTGCAGCTTTCAATATGTTCACTTGTTTACCAAGAATATTAACAAATGACAAACTGGAATATATTCGTAATATGAATCACAGTGAAAATGCATCCTATTTAGCTGTTTTATCACATATTGGCTCATCGGAAGAAGCAATACTTGCGAGACGACTAAGAATATTTCTAAGCGGTTGTCAATTATTAATTAGCCTTGTAGTTACACTAATTGAATATGCTATTTATCAATACTCTTATCGATATCCTAATTGGACAGGATTTCAACCAACAATATTTTGGACAAAAGTGATTAGTTCAGTAATTGATTATTTTATTTCATTATTATCATTTCTAACAGTCTGTTGGTTAGTATTCTATGATTCTTTTGGAGTGTGTCGTTTGTTTATTATTTGTTGTTATTTCTCCTTAGTTTTATATCCATCAGCGCGTAGAGCATATATATGGATAAAATGGCGATTATTATGCACTAAACGTATGAATGATTTAGTTAATCCTAGTAAAATACAATTAGAACGGTATGGTGATACATGTCCAATATGTTTTGCTGAAATGACTATAACTACAGCAAAAATTACTAGATGTGGTCATCTTTATCATTCTGAATGTCTTATACAGTGGATGAAACATAAATTAACATGTCCTATATGTCAGTCAGATTTATTGTCGACTAGAGTGACTAATAAACGACGAGAAGTTACAAGTGCTCGAATGCAAGAGACTATAGTAGGTGAACAAAATTAAATAAATTTAAAAGAAATTACTCAGAATTTTTGACTTTATTATTATTACTATTACTACTAATACTACTATTATTACCATCATCGTCATCATCATCCTTTTCACTGTCTAACCATTCGATATTAAACAAAAGTCAAACAAGAAATCACCTTTCAATCTTGTAAATGCAAATTGTTACTACTCTGTGCCTTCAATTGTACACTCATCATTATTATTTGTCAAGGATGTTTGTAGAATGGAGGCGAGTATAAATTCATAATGTCTATGTGAAGCCGCTTTTTTGTTTATTTTTGTTTTTTGTGTGTATGTACGTGACTTATTATCATGCATAGTACATAAAGAGAAGATTTACAATAAATTATTGACATATAATATTGTTTATTTTTTCAGAGAAATAATAAAGTTAGTTTCGGTGTGACTCATTTGCCAGTTTTGAACTATATATCTTTTGTTTATAGATTAATGATATAGTCCAGTTGCCGCAACTGATCTAGAAAGTGTAAGTTCAGTACTATGATGTAATTGTTGAATGTCGAGTGTTAAACAATTGGTCACTTATAGTGAACAGAAATATATTTATTATAGCTGAACATAGCCCAGGGCAGAGTTCGATAAAGAATGCTGATGGGCGGCCTATGCTCCTCCACGAGGAGTAACAGGCGTAAGTAATTAAGTAACGCTGTACGTATAGTCAGTTGGAGATTATATCGTCACATCATTACTGTTATTTTTTGTGTCTGGTTAAACTATAATAGGAATTTACCTCATTTATTAAATACATGTTTGTACTGTTAACTTTAAACCACGCTTTTGTTACTACCTAGTTATCCAAACTCCAAACAGGTGAAGCAAAGCTTAATAATTAGAAGCTAGATGTTGTAATCATCAAACCACCATACAAACCTCAGTGTACTACGTGAAAATTGATCAGTCAGCTACAATGTAGGACCAGGCATATATATGCATCGGTCCAAGTTGCCATACCACATTAACACAACAAGATGGACACCGGGTTCATAAAAATAGTTAATTCAGAGGTGGTAATATATAAAAGAAAGATTGCAATAAGGATATAGTACAGGAAGAAAGAATTAGTCCATAGAAAGACAGATATGAAGCGATTTTAATCTCATAGTTTTAGGAAAGACAGACAGTGTATACACCGACAACATTGTGACCGATTCTGACCCATGTCACACACAGTCTCCAACATTGGTTACCATAGTCACGCGGACCTCGACCAAGTAGTCTGCATCTACCAACATGGCTCAGACTAGAAGTTAATGACTTCAAACAGTGATACCACGTTTTGGTTGACCGCCCCTAACTTTCTTCCAACCATCTCTAACATCGGTTAGCATTGCACGACGTGGTAATCGGTGTTCAGGCATACGTGACACGTGGCTCAACAATCTCAGTCGATGAAGATTCACAACTTCACTAACTGACTTACCATCATTCCCTAATACCCAGTGTCTAACCTCACTATTACTTACCCGTTAATCCAGCAGATGTGAGTAATATCTCTAAGACATCTGTGATGAAATACTAGTAACCTACTAGTATCTTCTACTCTTAATGGCCACGTTTCACAACCGTAAAGTAGAACAGAACGAACTACCGCGCGGTATACTCATCCTTTTGTTGATAGACGAATATCTCGTCTTCTCCATAGGTGACGTAAGTTGGCATAAGCCAAGCGAGCTTTTCGAATCCATGCTGAGATTTCGTCAGACACCAACCCAGCACGTGAAAAATGATAATGAAGATGAACAATTTACAATCACGTATCGACTAAAATCAATAAATCATTTACTATTTACAACTATTGATGATTTCTTACGACTATTTAAACTGTTGGTTAACATATGAAGATTGAAAGGATTAAGTGCATGTATATAATAACATACAAATATGTAGCAAGCAGATAATTTAGATATATTAAAAAACTAACCTCTCACTAATGGTAATCATTTATCATGTCTCATCAAGTCCTTCATGCTGATAGAATCCCACCAAGTTAGTTGCAACATGTCCACTGATCTAAGTGATACAGTATCGTGGTGTGCTTTTTTGCTGTTAGTAGGAATCACAGACTTACTTTCCAAGGTGTCTGGCTCTTGTCGGGAAGATTTGTCTAGATTCTCAAAGAAAACGATAAGGAATTCTAGCCTGGCTCACATTAATTTCTAAAAATGTCATTACTATGATACTTGAACAGAACTGACTTTCTGTAACGTACATGTTTTGTACTAATTAGTCATTGATTAATAATTAATGTCCTATTGCGTAGTCCTTATGGATAATCGCTTCTTATCGATGTAGTTGTAATGAAGTAGATGATTATAGATCATTGATAAGTTAAATTAGGCCATAAGTATTAAATTGTCCTTATCTTTTACAGCAAACTCCTACATCATCCTAAGTTTGCTCTTAACTTTTCAACTACCCTCTTCAGACAGTTTCTAATTTATAACTCAGCAGAATTACTTTGGTTTTGTGTTCTTTGAGCTGAATAATTCAATCTTAAACATTCCATCGTCTTTCTAGACAACATTATTAGTGAGGATAAATAAGTGTATAATTATGTAAAATGGTATTTATCAATTAAACAATTGCCTATTGAATTTACAGTTCATTGTGTTGTTGTGTCTTGTTATTGGGGTTCAGTACGGCCTACAATGTTACGGATTTAGGAACATAAACGACTGAACTTCTCTAATACGATCGATTTTCTTTGTAACTGACAACACCCAATTATGCTCAACAAATCAAACCTCAACGGCTAAGGCAGGAAGAAGACGGAATTGCAGGTAAATTGATATTTTGTGGTAGAACAAGTAACTCAAACCACATTGGTATAAAAGTTGTTACTATAGTAGCAAAATATGACCTTCGAGCATGTAACGTCATCACGACTGGTTTGGTTATATAACTTCTGGCGATTTTGCAACTATGAGTATATTGTTTAAATAAACGGTTACACCTGTAATACCAGTTGATATGGTATCCATTAATTCTGGAATATCGCTGGTGCCATCTTTACTCCAAAAGGCAGTCACTTATACTGAAATAAACCTCTACGTGTGTTTATTGTCAGTAATTCAAGGCATGAAGGGTCGACCTCTACTTGCAGATAGGCTTCGGCTAGATCTGGTTTTGCGAAGTAACCTTCACCGTTTAATATTGTAAAAAAGATCATCTGGAACTGAATAAGAATAATGATATTGTTCTTATCACATTTTGTAATCTTGTAAAGAGTATTCATCAATGATTTTTTGTTTATGGTACATCAAACTAAGTCAGAAAATTTATCTAAGTTCAGCTTGTCCTTATTTTCATATTTAAGTTTTTCGATATTGAAAATAATCTTGCTTACCACAATAAACTTTGCAATTATTAGATTTGATTAAGTTCCATTGTTTAGAAACAAAAAAAAAATGAAATTTTGTCAAACGGTATCAATGGATTAGATTAATTGTTGCAGTGGTACTTTTTAAAATGACCAGGGCGTGGCGAATAAAAATCGTAGCAACGTCCTGCAAATGGAGCAGTGGGCTAATAGCTGAAACATCCAACTTTTAATTGGTAGTTCGTATATTTGAACTCGTTCCCACAGACTTCAGTTTGAGCAACTGAATGGTATCATTAAATGTGACTGAATAATTCCTGGTTAGCGTTTTTTAGCGAGTTAGTTTTCTACGGGATGGGGTCGATAACCCCATTCCAAACCCTCCTCCTTTATCCGGGCTTGGGATCGGCAGTAGCCCCAGAGGGGCTCCAGGTGGAGTTATCACTTAATATGATACCACATCATTATTACGGGGTGTTATGTCCGGATAAGAATAATGAATAGTAATTCTTGGGATCCATTTATGGACCAATACTATGCGTATATTTTCATTGTATAATTGTTAAATAACTAAACTATTCATATTCATTTCCCATTTATTATGACTTTATTTTGACCTATGAACCATTATTATACTATTGCCATTCTTGAATTATGCCCTGTCTATTAATTACTGCCTCTCCCATTCACAGCCACGTTTGGCTAATTCTTGTACAAATATTGTTTCCTATTTTATGGTACGATGTGGTCTGTCTGGTTGGTGTATAAACGCAGTATACTTGAAATAAATGATTTATATTGCAGAGGCTGAGATTGGTGTTCTGGACCTAATTGGCTGGGCTAAGCAGGAAGCAGGATCAATCAGGACTCTAGACTGCTCGTACGTGTTTTATGCGTCATTAGTCCGACCGATAATTCACTGCTCTCTAATTGGCGGTATCATTACGTTATACATTAACAGGGCACACAGGCCACAAGTTATAACAGGGGATAGTCTAAATTTATCAAAAATAACAGTTTTGTCCTTGTACTGTGTTCCTTATTGATGATTAACATATTTGTAACAAAAAATATCTCTTTATATACTTGTGCAAACAATATTTGAATACTTTGAGAAGCTGGTTGGTTAATTGGTTATTGTGCAACTAGGTTGAACTGCGATGGAACTGTTGAGACCTTTTAGCACTATAAGTCGATATGCTGAGCGAAAAATGTGTCTCCATGGTGTATAGCCTCAGATGTTGATTTTCAATTGCGGAACTTCCTGCGACGAGTACTCGCATTATTTGATTCCAGATTACTGTTTTTTTTGGCGTCTGTATACAGTTCCCAAACAGAACCAACTCAACCTCTTTATTCTCTAGATTACAAAAGTTGGCAACGCCATAGGTTGTGTTAACGAGATATAGATTGGGTTAAAGCATGCTCCATACAGGGTTGTGTTGGGGCACGATGATTGGGGGATACTTGGAGAAGACTAGAATATTCTACTGTAAAGATTATAAATATACTAACTTTTTCTTATTGTGATTCCTGCTTTTATTAAACCTTGTTTATTTATAATATAATTACGTTCCTGTTCAACCGTGTTCTGATTTGAAGACTTGTCGATTGAAGTAACGTCCAAGAATAAGAGTAGCTATGCTGTAATAAGAGAGATCGTAACACAAACTGCGTGATGTGATCACAAATTCCTCAGGGAACATCGGCTCCCTCAAGATAACGAGTGAAAAATGGCACAAAACCTACGTAGGCAAACCAGGATTCCCAGTTGAATATCTCCAACCATGCAACATTAGTAAAGAACGCATAGTTCCTGATCGCATTTTAACTGACATAAGTTTAAGATATTAATTGTTTTGGAATAAAAAAAAACCTCCACATAACTCAATTAAAAGTTGATGTATGTGCTATAATTTGGGGCGAAATTCCGAGGCATCACAATGAAACTGACAAAAACCCTTTATAAAGAATTTGCTAATTCTGTTACATAATACTGATCACATATACTGTATTTATATGAAGTGATTGGGATTTAATCAAATGCCTTTGTATGGACCAGGAGTCAGTACTATAAACAAAATAATAGTCAATATTTTATCCCATTTAGTAATTCGATTTGACATGACATTTTTGATGGGTCTGTCCTTCAAATGTCATCACAGAGATTGAGTTTACAAACTTAAGACATAAAACTTTAGCTCTATGTTTTATTGTATAAGGGCTTGGCAATCACTGTTACACACCGTAAGTTTGTTCTAATAATAATGTACAGTTGAACTGATGTTTCTTGTCTTTGGTAAATTGCTAAGTGAAACACCAAGAAAACTATCTGTCTTTTATCAATTATTCCTTATTCATCAATTTCAATTTGCGAACTTATCACTGGTAGATGTAGACTACTTGGTCGGGGTCTGTGTGACTATCGTAACCAATGGTTGGAGACTGGGTGACATAGGTCAGAATCGATCACAATGGCGTAAGTGTATACACTCTCTGTCTTCCCTTAAATTACGAGATTAAAATTGCTTTATGCCTTTCTTTCTACGAACCAATTCTTTGTTCCTGTACTATATCTTTATTGCAATCTTTCTTTTATATATTACCACCTCTGAATTAACTACTTTTATGAATCCGGTGTTCATCTTGCTGTGCTAATAGGGTATGGCAACTTGAACCCGACGCATATATATGCCTGCTCCTACATTGTAGCTGATTGACTGTGGAGCAACAGAATAAAAGTTTCTTGTCATTGATACGTTTAAATCCCAATTTATGTTCCAAGTTCTCTCAGCTAAGTCGCTGAATCACCATTGTTTTTGGTTCAATCATAATCGCGTAACATTTTATTCCAATGATGTGCTCATACCATACGTTGTAGACCTTTAGTTAATATTTCCAATAGACCAATTTCAACAAAACTGTGAGAAAGAAATCAAAATGATGCTAATTTAATGGTTTTTTAAAAAAATGGAAATTAATGTCGAAACAATGAAGAAACCGTTATTAATTTCACATGAACCCATATATTCCGATTAAGTAGAATTTACAATGATTTCTAGAATGCATCATTATTTTCATTGATGTTCTTAGATCTCATTTAATAAACGATCATGTTATGGTCATTCATCAGTCATTCAGCTACAACGTAGGACCACACACATATATGTATCGGTCCAATTTGTCACACTTCATTAGCACAGCAAGAAGAACACCAGATTCATAGGAGTGGTTAGGTCACAGGTGGTAATATATAGGAGAAAGATTGTATATGAGGATACAGTACAGGAAGAAAGAATTAGTACATAGAAAGAAAGATATGAAGCGATTTTAATCTCATAGTTTTAGGAAAGACAGACAGTGTATACACCGACAACATTGTGACCGATTCTGACCCATGTCACACACAGTCTCCAACCATTGGTTACCATAGTCACGCGGACCTCGACCAAGTAGTCTGCATCTACCAACATGGCTCAGACTAGAAGTTAATGACTTCAAACAGTGATACCACGTTTTGGTTTGGCTGCCCCTAACTTTCATCCAGCTATCCCCAACACTAGTCAGTATTGTGCATCGCGGTAAACGGTGTTCAAGCGTATAAGGATATAATACAGAACAAAAAATTAAATAGAGCAAGAACAAACATTGATGCAGAATAGTATGAATTCATATTATTTCGAGGTTTCATACTATTCTGCATCAATGTTTGTTCTTGCTCTATTTAAATTCATAAAGGGAACCAATTGCAAGAAAGAATTAGTTCGTAGAAAGAAAGATATATAGTAATTTTAATCTCACGGTTTAAGGGAAGATAGAGGGTGTATGAATTAGTAGGAATTGAAGAGGGAGGTTGATTATGAATACACTGGTCTTGAGTGCTGTTAGAGGTATGAAGGCAGTTATCACCCTCCGGTTTCCCACACTGTAGAAGTGTTCTTCTGGAGGTACCTGAAAAAGAAATTGGATTGGAGGTGGTCTTAATGACCCGAGAGCGTGACCGCAGTGCCCAAGGGACAACTGCTTGAGGTCGGTCACACACGACCTTTTAGCGAGTAATCTTTGTGTTAGCTCTGTACTTGTTGAGACCTTACCGCCGGAGACGGATATCCGTGAGATAAGGCGAGGTGTACATTTTTAGGTTCAACCTTTTCTAACCCTACCCCTCCTTGTGGGGAGGCAGCATCGCTGTCATACTGGTTGTCTGAAGGAAACACCTTACTGCTGTCACACCTCTGTACAGTCGGCAGTACGACTTCGCCTTCAGACCTTAGGTTTAGTGCTTTTAGTCTTACAGCTCTTCAACCGACCTGTCTGGCGTGATAGGACCTTGAGGAACGGTTGTTCCAGCCAGTATAGCTCGGTTGCTTCACCACGGTGGGCAAGCCCGACCACCACGTCAAGTTGGCAACAGCGGTCGGGAGAGAGTTTATACACCTATGTCATTGTGATGGATTATGAGCCATATCGTTCATTACTCGTTAATTGCTAAGTGATTATTTTCTGAAGGTGTATACTGAATAAGATAGAAAATATTGAATAATTTTACTTAATGGTACTGATATCACACAACAAAATGTCCTCGTTTTTCTTTTTGTATAACCAGTTTTCTCTAAAGAGTGTGGATTATTGTAGTGAATGTATAACACATTTTTCTTTCCTTCTTATCGTTGTTTTTAAGCAAATTCTTAGCAAAAATTGAACAATTTTTTTCCCTTAAATGTCACACTGAAAATAAAATCGATTAGTTTAATATACAACTCGAGATCTTTCATGGTTTTCTTGTATTTTGTCAATATTTATTGCTTAATGTTTCATAATGCAGGGATTAACTAACATTTCCATTATCCACTTAGCTATTGAGTCTGATAGCCACCTGCTTGTGCAGTGGGGTGAAGTTTAAATTCACTTGGTGTTGTTTTACTTGTATCTATCTTCCCATTGCTATTTAGGACTGTAATTGATCAGTTTCTTATTGGCATATGTGCATCCTCTGTAGATTGCCTCGATACAGCCTTAAGTCACAAGCATTATATGCAAAGATGGATAGGTACATCCAGCTGACGAGTCTCGAATAGGACGAAACGCGTATCAAACTGGATTCCACTGCTAGCCACTATCCATCTTTGCTTATAATGCTTGTGACTTAAGGCAATACGCACAGTATGCCAATAAGAGACTGATCAACTGCAGTCCTAAACATCAATGGGAAGATTCAAACAAACAATACCAAGTGAATGAATTCATTATGTTCCAAGGCTTATCATCAGTCGTCAACCAATTAGTTTCGTTAGTAATATTACTATAAAGAAATTTTGTAAACCTTTACTGGTTTAATGTGCTGACTCTGATTTGTTTGAACGTGTTAATATGCTATGAACCATAAATCTTCCATTTAACTCCATATATTAAACTTAAGCCAATCTTATTTGTGTGACTGTCAAATACAGTTTGAGTTAGATGAATTCATTTCAGTCACACGTTTATTCAGACAGAAATTAAGAATAAGCAATGGGTAAACCAAGCGAATCATATTCAAACAATCGAGATTAAAAACCGAATAACTGATAAGGTCAAAATATGACTCAAGAAGAATAAATAAATTAGTCTGTCCATATGTTAAAATAACTCATTTCGGCTTAACATAGAAGTAAACACTACAAATCTGTTATATTCTTGAAATAGAGAACTAATTCAATTCCCATGATAAGAAGTAAGAATATCAAGATTGGTACAAGTAGAGATTTATTCATCGTGAAAACGCAACGAACCTAGTTGAAAATACACTCATTTATATATTGATTTGTATATACGTTTGATTGGAAATGAGTAAAAAGTCACATATATGAAATTATAGAAGAATAACACATTAGGTGTCATGCTGAACATGGTTCACGTTAATTTAGTACAAGAATATTGTATCTTGAATAAACGTCACGCTGAAGTAAAACAATAGTACACTATAAATAAAACAAACATTACACTGAATAATCATCATTATAGAATTGAAAACGGAAGTAATTAAGAGACATTGAATAAAACAAAATTGTTAACCAACGAATGATAATCGAGGCACGTAATTACTTATTTATTTATGCCTGTTACCCATCGTGGAAAAGCATAGACCGCCAACCAGCATTCTTCATCCAGCTCTGTCCTGAGCAATCATTTTCAAGTTTGTTTACAATTCCTGACACAATGTGTTCCTTGGTTTTTCACTTTTCATCTTTCCTTCAAGATTCCAAGTCAGGATTTACTTTGTGATGCAGTCTGATGATTCCCGTGATGTGTGTCCTATCCACTTCCAACGTCTCCTAATTTTCTCTTCAGTTGGGAGTTGGTTTGTTCTCTTCAACAGTAGGCTGTTGCTGACGGTATCCGACCAACAGATATTGAGTATGTTGAGTAGACAACTGTTCATAAATACTTGTATCTTTTCGATGATGGTTGTGGTAGTTCTCCACGTTTCAGCTTTGTGCAGTAGAACTGCCTTGACGTTCGTATTGAAGATTCTCACTTTGATATTGGTTGACAGTTGTTTTGAGTTCCATATGTTGTTCAAATATAAGAATGCTTCCCTTACGTTGTAAGTCCTTGCCTTTATATCTGCATCAGATCTTCCTTGTTTATCAATGAAGCAGTCCAGTCTCATGGAACTTTCCACCTCTTTCAGAGGTTCTACATGAAGTGTGATAAAGTTGGTGCCACTTGTCGTATTTTGTAATTTTCTTTCTTCACTTTTAAATGTTAAGGCGTACTGCTGCAGAGAGGCTTCTGCTACACTGGTTGTCATCGCCATTTATTGGTGTGTATAGGATAGAAGAACTGGATCGGCTGCGAGGTTCAAATCGTCTAGTTGCATACAAGCTGTCCATTGTATTCCATGCTTCACCTGAGATGTGGAGGTCCCCATAATTCAGCCGACCACCAGCCAAAAATAGAAAGGAGGAGAGTAAGCAGTTTTATTTGACCCCGGTCCTCACTTGAAATGAGTCTGCCAGCTGTCCTCCATACATGACTTTGCAGTGTAGTCCTTCGTATGAATTCCGGATGATGTTGACGTTCGTTCTCGGGTACACTGTAATGTCGGAGAAGGTTCCGTAAGGTTCTCCTATCCACGTTGTCAAACGCTTTCTCATAGTCAAGGAAGTTGATGTGTGGTGGTGAATTCCATTTAATTGGTTGTTCAACAATAATCCGTGGTGTCGCGATTCGGTTTATGCGCAACCAATGCTTCTAGAATCCATTTTGTTGATTTCGAAGTTGAGCATCTACTGAATCCTTCATCCGGTTCAGCAACACTGTCGAAAAATTTTCCTGGTAGTGGTGGTAGTGTCATGCCTCTGTGGTCCTCACACTTAGTGAGACCTCTTTCCTTTGATATCTTGTTGAGGTGTAACACCGTACTACTTCAATTACGATTTTGAAGCACTATATATCTGCTTCCAAAGAAAAACGTGAAAAACACTTGGATACCACGTATAAGTTTATGCAATCGACTTTGGGACAGTTTTTATGTGATAACTATTGGTACTACTACTAGGTTGTTCAATCTAAAACAGGTGAAGTAAAATTAATGTCTGTGACCAAGGGTAGACTATGGACCAGCTTGAGTGAAAAAATCAGGTTTTAGATGAAAGCTATTTTAATCCAGCTTGTTGATCGAGGCATGTAGTTGACATAAAATTAAGCTTAATGTCGTGAGTGGAAATCAGTGAAATTGTTCTTATTTCAAATCATAAAATACAATGAAGAGATAATGCAGTGAACGCGTTAAAATAAAATGTCTTTCTTACCATGCCAACTAGAGGCTTACCACACTTTCCTTATGTAACAAATTTCAGGATAATAGCGCTTGGTGGCAGTGGCCTCTTCAAAAAAGAACTAAGTGTGGTGTTCTATCTTGTCATTCAAATTGTGTCCACTATCTATTTGACGTCTACTGATCTCACTTGTGAACATTGCTGTCTTTCAAATACTGCTTTTGGTCTGATTTTTAATTTTATGTCAGTTGTGTGCCTCGATTATCATTCGTTGGTTAACAATTTTTTTTCAACGTCTCTATATTATCATTCTGAACTTCATACGTCTCCTTTTTTATGGATTCATCTTCAACATGTAAATATTAATGAATCTACTAATCAATCATGTTAAATATGGTGTTTCTCCTTGTTGTTTCGAATTAAACTTTATTGATTCACTGTTTATGGAACTATTTTTCATAATAATATTGCGCTATATGCTCACAGATACAAGTAGTATGTAGCCCGGCACTTCCATATTGAAACAACCAGTTGCCACGCTTTGCCCCCGAATTCTCTGGTACGGCCGAGAGTGGGGAGGGCCCACAATCCCTCTCTAAATGCTCTCGCACAGTCACCGACAGGGAAGTCCTACTCACCGCTTTCTCGGGCCACGCGTGTTGTTTACGAAATTGAGAGGACGAAAGCGAATGTCCAGAGCTTTAGCCGGGCCGGTGAGTTCACCTAGGGGAGTTGGGAAACCCTGATTCCAAACCAATGATGCACATGGGCTCCAGGATCCTGAAGAAACAAATGATGTATGAACCAATTGTTGGTCACTAGCTACCATGGGACTGCATGTCCTTACGTTGCTCCACTGCCTTGTGGATTGGACCTTTAGGTCAGAGGCTCGGGGAGTGGCCCCCTAAGATAACCACCTGCTTCGGTTTGGGCACCCGGGCAGTATCACAGCCCACACACAAATTGATGAACTCTTTATGCCTATGGAAATTACCTTTCTCGCTTTGAAAAACAAACAATTGATTCAGATTATTATCATTACAATTATTGTCATTATTAATACTATTATTATTATTACTACTATTATTGTCATTATTATTATTATTACTATATATATTATTATTATTATTATTTTCCACATTATTCACCCTCTTTTATACTTATACAGCGGCTCGTCTTTGGTGGAAATCCGACTGTATCTAAACGTTCTCGAGTCACTGTCCGGTTGAAAATTGTATGTTACCACCGAATACGAGGACTGAAGCAGTTTTTCTGAAACCACGTGCACCATTCAAACTGGCTGCCTTCAACGTTCGCACATTTATGCAGGTCGGACAACAGATAGGGCTGGCTATGTCTTTGGAAAGTCTTAATATCGATGTTTGTTGTCTATCCGAGACCCGTATTCAAGACTCTGGCGAAGTACTACAAATTCGATCTCCATCTGTCGCTTCGAAAAGCTTGTTTTACGTGCGCTTATCCGGGGACCCTGTGGCATCTTCGTCTGGTCTTGCTGGCGTTGGTGTCGCACTAAGCGCTAGAGCTGAGGCAGCACTAGTCGATTGGATCCCCATTAACAGTCGGTTATGTGCTGTTAGATTAGAAAGTTCCATCAAAGTGAGAAGAAATCGGCGTGAGAAACGATGTCTTTTCGTCATCTCCGCCTATGCCCCGACAGATTGCAGCCCGGATGCAATCAAGGATGAGTTTTACCACCAGTTATCTGTTCTTCTCCAGAAAGTGCGTTCGACAGATATTGTAGTACTAGCCGGAGACTTGAATGCTCAGGTCGGGCGTCTAGGCACAGAAGAGAGTCGTTTAGGTGGCCGATGGGGACTCGTTGGTCGCAGGTCAGATAACGGGGACCGTCTACTGCAACTTTGCACAGACCACAACCTGTTTCTGGCTAGCACTAACTTTCGGCACAGTCATCGCCGATGTGCCACCTGGCGTCCTCCCTCTGCATCTCAAGCCTGGACTCAGATTGATCACATCGCGATCAGCTACCGCTGGCGTGGTTGTGTACAAGACTGCCGCTCCTTTTGGAGTACCTATCTGGACTCTGACCATGCCTTGGTCTGCGCCAATCTTACCTTACTTTTCAGTGGACAACGAAGTGACCGCCACCAAAGGATTGATGTTAGCAAGCTGGTTGCAACTTCTGTTGCAAGTAAGTATCGAACCGAGCTAGCCTCTAGGCTAGCTACCACTCCACCGAAAAGTATAGATGAGCATTGGTTGCAATTGCATGACGCCATGAAAATGGCGGGAACAGTCAGTTGTGGGTTCGCGAAACGTCCCGCTTATAAGCACTGGGTTTCTTCAGGCTCCTTATAACTCATTGAAGCCTGTTGGTCTATTCCGGGTGACCGTGAGTTTGACCATAAGTGAAGGTTGTTACTCAACAGAACTGTGCAAATCTTGTGTAAGGACCGAGAAGCCTGGTGGTCGGAGCATGCTAATGAGCTGGAAGCAGCAGCTGCATCTGGTAACTACCGGAAGCTCTTCCAGCTCATCCGAGCCACTGGCAGCAAGAAGTCTGGTGTGAGCGAAACAATCTGTAAGGATGATGGGATGCCAATCACTAACACTCACCGACGTCTTGGACGATGGGCAGAATTCAACTGTCCTGCTGCTCCGGCAACATCGGTCAAACTGTCCTGCCCTCCATGGCCGGTGACGACTGACCTACCAAACGAGGAGGAAGTCCGCAAGGAACTCCAACTCTTGAAGCGCTACAAATCACCGGGCCCAGATGACTTACCTCCGGATCTTTTTAAAGATGGTGGTGACCTTCTGGTTAAGGAGCTGACAACGTTGTTTACAAATGTCTGGGAGCTAGAGACTGTTCCAACGTCATGGAATGAGTCGATAGTTGTCTCTACCTTTAAAACGGGTTCACGTCGTTTCTGTAACAACTATCGGTGAAGAAGTCTACTTCCGACTGCGTCCAATCTGTTGACTTCCGTCATACTTCGTAGGTTGTTCAAAACCCGAGAAAGATTGACATCATCATCAAAGTCACAAATTATATCAACGGTATAACTTATGTTATTAAGTGAATAAACACAGCCGAATAAGCCATTACTTCAACTTTTAAAATTAGTTCATTAATTCAACATATTATCTTGTATAGTAATAATAATAATAATAATAATAATAATAATAATTACGACACACACACACACACTAATGTATATTAATGAGAACCATGGTTTTCTGGAACATGTTCCAATTCATGCAGTACACTGCATGTATCTTTAGGATGTAGAAATAGGACAGGTGCACCTGATGCTCCAATTTTTGGTTCAGCACTTAATGTTCGGATATTTTTATCTTTTAAATGCTTCAAACAATTGTATATATTATCAACCTAAAAGTGTAGTTCACAATAAAACAAACCAAATTATAGAAGATTATATTATAAAGTGGATTCAATTGGAAAGAATCCTATTATTTGTGTACTTTTTTGTTACTATATCCCTCTAGTATATTGTTGGGATAGCTTAGGAAATGGTGAACAAGATTTGTAGCTCAGGTGGATGGTTTTGAAGTTTGTGCTGATGATATCGTTCAGAAGAACAATGAAAGCTCCACAACCAAACCATCCAGCTCAGAGAACAAAACACCATCAAGTTAGGTTAGGAAAAAAAGATACAATCAAGATAGTGTTTCAGTTCATGATATTTATCAAGCAAACTTACTGGTTGTAATGTATGACTGTGAAAATATGTGATGAGATGTCTGAAAAGTTGACAGAAGCATTATGCCTTTTTCTCTCTCTCCTATATGTTTAACATATTAATACTGAATTATTTTAATTTTCTTTTTTATTAAATAATAATGTTTCTTGTTTAGTTTTGTTGGTTTGCATTTTCTCGTGGTTCGAGCTCAGAAATTCCGTTGAATGTTCTCCTTTGGTATATGATTATCCTATTCTCATTGCCTCGAAATCCTCATTTATTCACAAACTCTTATGAATACAATTCATAACTGTTGGATAGGTTAGCATCTGTCTAGACTTAATAATTCAGTGAGTGAAGCTTTAAGCGTTTAAACCAAAAATTGCTGAGTACCATTATTGATGTTCACATTAATACTGGGATGTAGACACATCGGCAAGACTATAATTTATGGACGAACCAATCAGGTATAAGATTACAGGTATCGGGTTTTGGTGCGAAATTCTCTCATTCATTTGGCTTAATAGAGTTTTGATATTATAGCTGATATCAGTTCGTGATGAAAACCCAAGTCTAATTTCAAACATTAACCATCGACTGTAAATCATAATCTTTATCCTTCACACAGGTTTATAACCCATATTTAGCTCTAGTAAGTAGGTGGACATTCTTATGGTCAGTCTAGCGTCGCTCAAAGGTCGTGAATAAATTACATTTCCACCGACATACCTAAATAATGAGTCGCACATAGAACAAACCGTACTAGCTGGACTCCCCTGATGACTTCCTATCCAACTTTACTGAAAAACGTACTTCTCTTTTTAGTTTAAGATTACTATTTCACGAGTTTATTTTCATTACCAAACGGAATAGGTTAAATTTACTGTCAGATTTCTATGGTGTTATCTTTTTTCTTCACTTAACTTCAGTCAGTCAGTGAGTAACAACGTAGAACTTCGTACGTATGTACATCAGTTCAAGTTACCATACCAAATTAGCACAGAGATGCAGTTGTTGATTCATATCCCTTAGTGGTATAGGTAGTAAGAGTATAAGCAGTAATTTGAAGGATTCGAATTTGGAAGGAGAAAAAGCAGGATATGAAGAACTGAAAAGATTAGAATTCGGTAGAACACAAAGATTGAATGCACTTGCACCATTGCAAACGATTTTGAGCTATGTCATTCAAGATCTCTAACTTAACTAACTTATTCTATTGTTGAACAATAAATATAGTCAGAATAGTTCAACCGTATGAATAGTATAACTTTGAATAAGATAAATATTTATATAGTGAATAAAAACTAGAGCTCAATAAAATGTAGATACTTACTTCAATACAGAGATGATGTAATCCACCATTTTTATTACTTTCTATAAATTTACTAATAGGACTATTATCACCAAGTGGTTGAATCAACTAATCAATTTATATTATTTATAAATAAAAGAACTTACTTCAATATTAATATTATCTAGTCGTACAAACACCGTGGTAACACCATGTTCTTTAATAGGCTATAAATTAAAAATACATAAAAAGATATAATCAGTATAAAGGGATTTGTAAAGACTGTTGAATTTCTATCGTTTCAATTTAGAAATGATCTTAATTAGATTATCATTAATAGTCAAAAAGTAATGGATTTCCTAGGTTATAATGATGATCCAGCTAAGATCAGTTTAGATTGAAATTATGAATGCTATAAAATATAAAGAACGATACTGGGTTTAAGTCCCAGAGTGAACATCAACTTTGAGATGTAGGTACATTCAGCTGGCGAGTCTCAAATAGGACGAAACGCGTGTCAAACTGGATTTCACTGCTAGTCACGATCTATTTTCTTTAGGATGTTTGTAAATTAAGGCAATATCAAGGCAATATGCACATATACAAATTAGAGACTGATCAATTGCAGTCTTAAATAACAATAGGAAGATACAAGTGAAACAACAACACAAGTGTATTTAAAGAATGATAATTTACTTTTGGTTCACTAACTTCAACGCGTAAAATATCACGATAAAATGAAGCAGCTTTTTCTAGATCTGGCACAGCAATTGCAACATGATTTAATTTGGTAATTTTCCAAGAATTCTAATAAAAAAATAAAGGGAAATTAAAATGAGTGATTATTCACTAGACAATGGTTACTAGTAATTCTTTGTCTTGTCGAAATGTAATCGTAGTTACTATTGACTAATATCCTTTGGATATGTTTGAAGTCACTTCGAAATCAATCAGCAGTTAATTGGCATGTGATAAATTTAGAATTCTAAATAGTTTAGTGAGCTTAGTTCGAGCATAAACTATTAGATTTCTTATCATAGAATGTTTACGGAGATTGGTGAACTTTTCATAGTTTACATCATGAACTGATCTTAGATATTCATTGAAAAATGATTGTAAAACATCGTTAATTGATTTAAATTTGAAATCTAAACTATTAAATATAGGCTGTGTTATCTAAAGACTCTAAGTTAGGTCCTCTGAAAAAGAATAGGTATTCATTGCTAAAGAGTTCAGCAGTAGGAAGAAATATCTGTTCGGTGCTCTATACTTTCCAGTAGATTTCTAACTAAGGCCAATCCATAATCTAAACTACTAGTGTTCTATCTGTTTATTCTAACCCCCCCCCCAAAAAACGCGTAAATTCAGACTTTAAAAGTCAAGAGATAATTTCTTAATTTGACTCAATAAGTCCCATTAGTGTGAGATTTATGTCAATGGTCTTGATTCTATCTTTGTTAGGAGAAAAGCTAAATTAATCACGAATGTATAGAATGAAATTTAACTGTTATCTAAACAAATTTTCAGTATAAAATTACTTTAAACAGATTTCAGCTGATAACCATTTCTTATTAGAAATGAATAAATCAAGACAATTAAACTAAACTGAACAGGGGGAATACAGAATTGGAAGTGTACATCTTATTATTATTTTATTTAAGCATATAAAAATTGGTACAAGAAGGCACCAAACTGATATGCGCCACATAAATCATTTGATTTGTGTAAGGGCTAGGATACTGCTCGGGTGCCCAAACCGAAACAGGTGGTTTTCTAAGGGAGCCACATTCAGAGTCTTTGACATAAAGGTCTAATCCACAAGGCAGTGGAGCAACGTAAGGAGATTCAGTCACATGGTAACTGGTGACCAACAATAGGTTCATACGCAATTTGTTCCTTCAGGATACTGGAGTCCATGTGCATCATTGGTTTGGAATCAAGGTTTTCCAACTAACTCCCCTAGGTGAACTCTCCGTGTGCACTAAACCGGTTAAAGCTTAGGATATTTTCTTTTCGTCTTCTCAATTTTGTAAACAATACGCCCATCACGAGAATGTAGTGAATAGGACTTCCCTATCAGTGGTTGTATGCATGTGGTCATGTGAGAGCATTAAGAGACAGAGAGAGCTGACTCTCCCCACTCTCGGCCATACCAGAGCATTTGGGACTGAACAGACAGATACAAAATTGGAAGTGTACATTACACTACATAACTCAAAACAACAATTAATAGTTATATGTCTTAGTGTTATGTTATTGATTGCTCACTATCAACAAAGTATACAGTATTCTTAATTTATCCAGCACTATTTGTTTATATTTAGCCGTGTCACACTCTTTGACCATTTGTATGTTTATTAATGACTCGGAAATAATTCAATATCGAGAAATGTTTCTTACTGAATCTTTCTACTTATTCAATTTATGTTATATCACCAGTGTGCTGCGGGCTACTTATACCCACATAAGTGGTATATAATAGTGGTCAGGCATAGAATGTATTTCAGCAGAAGATCGAGAAGGAAAAAACGGAAACAGAAGGCAATTGGTATGAAAATGCAGGGAAAATGACATATGAGACGATAGATTGATATTTTGCAAATTAAGTATTTACTGTATGGTTCTCAGATTTTAGTAAGATGTTCTGTAAGGTTCCGTTCAAACACATTTGGTTGCTTCCACTTGTGTTCTTGTTCACTACACCAGTTATATCGTTCTTTGGTGAAAAAACGTCTTAACCTGACAAATAAAGTAAATCCAGCTAGGGAACCTGTGATCAAATTTGTTATAGTGGGGAGATAAATTTAGGCCTTAATGTATATCTTTCCAGTCTCTTTTGATCACAGTGATAAGAAGACGACCAGTTTTTTTACCCTTCTTTCAATGAATTAGCATTAAGCGGTGGGTACTTATTGAAGTGAGAAACCGAAAATTCGGTGATCATAAGTGGGCATAGCTTTCATAATGAAACTGTTGAAAATAAAGTTAGTTTAATAATGTATCATATAAAAAGAAGAACAAACAGTCAAATAGGTTAAATTATGAATACAACCAGAAGAAAATAATTAAAGTATCGAAAAACCAGCTCAAAACATATGAAATGAGGGAATCGTTTCAACACTTAACAGGGTATAGGACATAAAATGACTGAAAATAACTCGAACAGTTGATTACTAAGTAATGCGGTCAATACATAACAAGGGTTGGAAGGGAGTAGTTGAAAAGTAAGGAACATATTTAGTAATAATCTTATACTATTGTCACAGGATCTTGGAAACTGTATTGTAATTCGTGAATAGAATTACTTACTTACACCTGTTACTCCTAATGGAGCATAGGCCGCCGACCAGAATTCTCTAACACACTCTGTCCTGGGCCTTCTTTTCTAGTCCCATCCAATTCTTGTTCATTATTCTCATGTCTATCTCAATTCCCGGCGTAATGTGTTCTTTGGTCTTCCTCTTTTTCTTTGGCCTTGAGGATTCCATGTGAGGACTTGTCTTGTGACGCAGTTGTGTGCTTTCCTCAATGTATTCGAATAATTTTTTCTGATTAGCGTTTTTTAGCGAGCTCGTTTTCTACGGTGTGGGGTCGCTAACCCCATGCCCAACCCTCCTCCTATATCCGGGCTTGGGACCGGTAGTAGCTCTCGGGGGACTCCAGGCGGAGTTAATTCGTGAATAGGTACTTCCTAAAATGATTGTGATCACCTGTTGTCAAGTTTAAACCAGTTAAAATTTCAAGAGGTAATATTTTCAAGTAGAGGTTAGTGCAGATGTTTAGAGCAGATGAAACATATGGTAATGAGAAATACAAATATTATTTTGATCCTAGCTATAGGCAAGTGTTGGAATGTATTTTAAACTCATGGGAAGTTAGATATTTCCTATATTTTGATAAGTAAGTTTACCTACTTATAAGTAGTAAAATGTTTTAAAGATATTTTTATTAGAAAGGGATTTGTGGAGATTGTAGTAATTTCAGTAGTTAAAATCATGAGTCAATTGAAGATAGACCACCATGGAAAACCTGGAAGCACTGGACGGCCGTTTCGTCCGTAATTATGTAATTCTCTAACGACTATCCAGAACAAAAAAGTTATAACAGCAAATAATATATAAACTGCACTACTTGTAGAAATATGAGTATCATTGACAGGTAAATTTAAGTATTTTCTTGTAAATAATTGATTATTCGATAGTAATTACAAAAAGACGATGTCGGTAGGTGATTGACAAAATAAGTTGCAAAGTTAACTAAATGATTCTAATTAATATATATTTCATGACTAATATAATTGTAGCTCTGTCTGAAGCTTCTCTAGGGTAAATAGCGTCCTAAGAACCCGGGTAAAGGGGATGAACTGGAAACGGATTTACTAGCCAAAAAGACGCTAGCTAGCAAACATGACTTAAATTCTGCCCTGGCAATCGAATTATATTCATATAGAAAAGGTATGACGCCTCATTGTGAAAGAAATGATTCCTAGGAAGCCACAAGTTCGATGCCCCTTCTGACAACTAATTAATGTCGATACGTAGAATATCTAAACAATGTGGGAGACAGAGTGGGTCACTCATATTAACTGCAAAAGTTACAACTCCGTCATTCTTGGAATAACCGTTACTCATTGGACGTAACCTACACGAAAGGACAAACTACAGTTGCCCTGTTACTGAATTCCAGTCGTGAAGAATTCCAGTCTTTACACAAAGAGTTGCATAGGTGTTGTCTGGAGAAGCACTTATGTTATAGGGACACTATGGCTCCAGAACCATCAAAATATCCTTCAGGAAAGAGAAGGAAAACGTTACAATAAAAGTTATCCGGTATTATATTCCTGCCAATATTAGAAGCGATGATAAAAATCAGTTTTATGATAGGTTGTAATCCGTTGTAGGAAAAGATCTGACCATTTTGACAGGGGACCTGAATGTTAAAATGGGAATGGTCAACACCGAGTATGAACGCATGGACGAGAGACTTGAATATCTATGTGCTTTCAACAATAAGGTTATAAGTGATATTTTCCCTCACAGACGCATGTATGACGCTACACAGGTTTCACTGAATCTGGCTACGGAGATCAAAATTAATCACATTGGCACCAATAGAAAATTTAGAAGGTTCATTGGAAATGTAAAGAAGAGCGGAGCTGATATAGCTTCAAACCACCACCTGGTGGTGCTGAACAATAGGACAAGCATCACTACAGAAGTTTAATACAGCCTCTCTTTGAGATGCTAACAACCTCAGTAACTTCACTATAACCCTTATCAACCAGTTTCAAGCTTTACAAGATCTACCAGACGGAAAGGAAACCACAATGGAGACATTCTTATATTATTTGCAACAGTATCTGCGAGGTCGATGGGTGCCTAGTTATGAATGAAGTGAATGAGCTATCAGTGGTTAAATAACGCTGTTCGATTGTTCGTTGAAAATTCAGTGTATGAGTTAGTAATTTCACAAAACTTTACTGTGAGAAATGGCCCCCAAATGCCCTGGTATGGCCGAGGGTGGGGAGAATCAGCTCTTCCGTTCGAAATACTCTCACATAGCCACGTGCATACAACCACTAAAAGGGAAGTCCTGCTCACCGCCTTCTCGGGCCACGGGTGGTGTTCACGAAATGCGGATGTCCGGAGCTTTAACCAGGTTGGTGGATATGGGGGATCCACCTACGGGAGTTGGGAAACTCTCATTCCAAACCAATGGACTCCATGATCCTGAGGAAACAAATAGTGTATGAACCAATTATTGCTCACCGGCCACCATGTGACTGCATCTCCTAATGCTTCTCCACT